GAGGGTTGCGATCCGTTGCCGGACATGGAAAAAAGACAAAAGACAAAAAAAAAAAAACAAAAAAACTGTCAGCTGAAACCTCTCTTTTAAATAAGGCTATATGCATGCATGCACATTATGTTGCACCTATTCTACAGTTGTGCAATATTTTTTGAACCTTCATTTATCCCTTCTTTATCTTAACTCAGGCATAAAAATAATGACCAGGATGAGGTTTATCTTCTAGTTGCCCCATATTATTTCCTCTCTTCACTAGGTAAGATTTCTGAAGGCAGACGTCATACTTCACAGCACTTTTTATAACCCCCCAGAAGAGCTTGCACAGAATTGAGTATATATCAACTAAATACTTAGTTGGTTTTCCAGTGTGATGTCCTTTACCTATGTCTGCAGTCTGTACGTAAAAGATTACAGGGGAGGGCCGGCCCAGTGGCGCACTCGGTAGAGTGTGGCGCTTGGGAGTGCGGCTGCGCTCTCACCGAGGGTTCGGATCCCATATAGAGACCGGTCCGCTAACTGGTTGAGCGCAGTGCGGGCGCGACACCAAGGGTTGCGATCCCGTTACCGGTCACGAAAAAAGACAAAAAAGAAAAAAAAAAAAAAAAGATTACAGGGGAAATGAGAAAGGTAACTTGCTGGGCCTGGCCAATGATACACATCCTGTACACAATACTCTCTTGATCTCTAGATATTCTCTGCCTTCAAATCCTCTTCTCTTGCTTTTGTTGCAGAGAATTATTTGTGCAAAATACCCTCAAGCCCTCTAAAAATTATTTTAACTTGTGGGGGATAACCACAGATATGAAGATCTGACTAAGGAAAATTTGACAGCCCAACAGGTAAGAATAAGAATATACTAGAATACAAGTTACATAGCCCTACACTGCTCCAATGATCTGGTTAGGAAATTCTGGGTGCCTTTCTTGCTTTCTCTTTTAAGAAAGAGAAGGCATTAGAGATTCTCAGATTCGAAAGGTAACAATGAAGAGCCAAGCAAATTTATCAAAAGCATACTAAACGCCCAAACCTGCAATGTGCTATTGGTGTAATAATGTTTAAACACACACACACACACACACACACACACACACAGAAATATGTTCTAACACCAAGACAGTATTTACTATTCAACCTATCTTTCTTGGACAATCAAGGAGATAGGGCAGGAATAAAAGTTGTATGAAATATAGTACTTGCCTTTTAAGAGTTTATAATCTGGAAGAAATCAAAGTAGTTCGTTAAAGAAAAATTAAGTGCTAAACTGTAATACAAACTTATAAGAGCAACAGGAGCAAGGAAAAGGAGACAATCGGCCTGGGCTTGAATAATTTGACAAGGCCTTTGGAGGTGAGAGAATTTAAATTCAGCCTTGACAGAGATGCAGGTAAGAGTGATGGGTAGGGGGAGGAAAAGGATGAACAGAGACACTAATGTGGAGGCAGGCATCAATATGGTTTGTGCTGAGAAGGAAGGGAGAAACAACTGGAACAGAGAATTCCCTTGTTGACCGAAACCGTATTAGACAAGAAGTATGATAAGGAGCAGGTGTTGTTGGAAGGCTCGAAACCAAAATGAGGGAGTGGGGTGCAGGGCTTTACGGTTTTTTGTTTTTGTTTTTAACGGGGGATGACCTGAGAAAATCCGTCACATTTTAGCTTACCAGGGCTGCAGCGAGCACAGTGGATTACAAAGGGAAGAGGCAGGGAGACCGGCTTAGGATGGTATGAAGTGAAGCGGACAACAATGCTCGTTGGCAGTGAGGTTAGAGATAAACTTCGGAAATGGAGACACAAAGGAAATTAATGTAGGGAACGAAGACGAGGAAAGAGTTCATGATGACTCTACATATCCCTGGAACAAAAACAAGGTCCCTGCTGTTACCTTGCCTGAAAAACTAATTCACGTTGCTGACAGCTGTCATGCCAATCGAGTAACTAAACTGCATTTTAAAAGATGCCTCCAACGCCTCGACCTCAGGGGTGGCGGGGGTAGAAACTGAAGGGGGCATCTTTCAACAGCATCCTTCACACTAATACAATGGAGGTGTTTGCTTACTCCGCTTACAATCACGGCCGCCGTTGCAAACTTCACCCTTAGAAAAATTAGGATTATTCCGGGAAAGATACCCATTCACCCTCTGGGTAGCAGGATCTTGCCAGTTCCTCGGCTGTCAGAGCGAGTTCCCGGAGAGAAGGGGGGCGCCTGAAGGAGGCGGCCTCCCAGGGGGGTCGAGGAAGCAGGGTTCAATCGAAGAAGTAAAACCACCGATGCCAGAAGAATGAAAGACAGGGAAGGGACTCAGCTGAGGGGAGAGAGAGACCAAAGGACCGTTAAGCCCCTCCCACGCCGGGAACCGGGCCAGCCTGGCCCCGCGCGGCCTGGCGCGGCCCAGCCCCGCTCCCCCAGCCTGGAAACCCAGAAACTCCCCCTCACCTGCTCAGGCTCAGCGGACGACTGGGGAGCTGCGGCTCCCACAGTCGGAAACGCCACCGCAACACCAACCCGGAAGCACTGAAACCAACGGAAGTAACCAAGGCGTCGCCTCGGCAACGGTGGTGCAGCCATTCCAATTCCGCCTCTTCCCAGCCTAAAAAAGAAGGCGCGAAATAAGAGGTGGAAGCGGCAGGGGTCGAAAGATGGGAATTGGCCCGAGTGCGAGCGCAAAGACCCTGAAGGAGCAACCTGGCTTTCGGGAGGTGTGGGGAGAGGGAGCTAACGCGTGAAAATTTCTCGCCAGCCCGGGCAGAGATGTCGCCTACTCACCCGCCCACCAGGCGCGTACAAGGACTGGGAAAGGAGGGGCGGAGCAAGAGGAGAGAAGCAGGCGGGGCCGGGAGGGCGCAAGGGGCGGGGCAAGAGGAGCGTGGGGCGAGAGGCCTGCGCGGCAGAGTCCACAAAAAGCGGGAAGGTGGGCCGGCCGTTGGCGCACTGCTACAGTGCGCCGCTTCAGAGCGCGGTGGCGCTCCCGCTGAGGGTTTGGATCCCACATACAGACCGGTTCCCGCTCACTGGCTGAGCGAGGCGTGGGAGCAACACCGAAGGGTTGCAATCCCGTTGCCGTCCCGGTCCGGTACGGGCGCGACACTGAGGGAAAAAAAAAAAAAAAAAAAAAAAAAAAAAAAAAAAAAAGCGGGAAGGTGAAGAAGGCGGGGTAAAGGGTTTAAAACAAAAGTGGGAAAATAAGGGATGGGGGTGAGAGGAATTTAGTGAGGCGCCTGAGCTCGGGAAGAAAATAAAGCTCGAGGAAGCAAATAAACCTCAGTGCCTAACGGACATCAGACATTCGTTACTGAAAAATTAGCTCATGCCCTGTACTCGAAGCTCAGGGTTTAATCAGAAATTTCACTTAAGAAAGCAATTTGGAAACAGAAAAGGGGACGATAAAAAGTGAAAAAGAATCTGAAGAAGAACAAGGGAGTCCCAGTTAACCCACACCTCACAACAGGCCTGAAAATGTCCACCGGCTTCTGGCTCTAGCGCTGGGGTTACTGGAAGGGCTAACCGCAAAGCCCCCTGGGTGATCCCCTCAGCCAATGGGCTGCAGCCGATCTTTAAGCCTCCCTGGGAAGGTGCAATAAGCATGGGGAGTATGCGGTAATAGCGTTTGTTGTTCATATGTAGTCAATTGATGCAAGGCACTTGGCCCTAAATCATTATTTTTTTGAATGAATAAATATTTGGAATTCCTTTGTTCCAAAAGAATTTTCTCATTTTAATTCAAATCTTTCTTTTTTCCGTTTAAAACTGTCTTCAGGCAACACATAATATTTATTAGCTGATATTACAGAATACTTACCAATGTACCAAGGGTGGTGCCAAGAGCTGTTTGTGCTCATAACTACCGTATAAGACAGGCACTATTAGTTTCACCTTCTGACAGATGAGAAAACCGAGGCCATAAAAAGTTGAGAGTAATATGATAAGTAGCAGAACTGGGATTTAAACTCGGGCCTGACTTCAGAGCCCAGGCTCTTATCCACGATGCTATATTGCTCTCAACTTTAATAATACCCTTGTTAACTTCAGAAGCGTCCTTGCTTAAAATAGCAATAATAAGAAACATGTGCATGCCTTCCAAAATGTGAATTCTCTTCCATTTAGATCTCCACAGAGTACTCCCTTTCAGCAGACAAGGGGGTTGTAGCTTAAAGTCCTTCTCACTTGGAAGAACTATATGAGGGTATCACAAAGTTCGTGGGGAAAAAAGTACGTAGTCATTATAAAACAAGCTATACACAAAAGTGTAAAGAAGGTAGTAGAAATGACCTAAAATCCAAACATCCAAAGGCTACTACTCTTGACAATCTGGAGAGCCTCCTTCTAGTCTTCACCATGCATGCACACATGCTTATACTGTAATTCTTGTGATGTGCATATTCCTGTCACATGCTCTTGCTGAGTGGCCTCATATGCAGGAGTCAGTGACCTGCCTACCCCCAACTTATGGTCTTCCGACATGAGGAAGCAGATTTGCTGCTTTTGTTTTCTTAATAAATAATACTTCCCCCTGATTTTAAAAGTTATGCATCTTTATGCAGGGAAAGGAAAACACAAAAGAATATTTTAAAACATACAAAAAAAGACTAAAATACAAAAGAAAGTAAAAATAAAATGTAAGCATCATCCCCACTGCCCAGATACCAGCATTAACATTTTTAAGCCTTTTCTTCCAGTCTTTCTTTTATATGACTGTATATATGCTGCATAAACCTTGTCTTGCCTGCTGCTCTCAGCTTCCTGGTATTCAGGCCCCTCTGTAATCCCCTCCTCCTTGAATGTGGACTGACCTAATAGCTAACCAATGCAATATGGCAAAGGTGGTGGTATGTCTCTTTTCTGATTAGGCTATGACTACCATCTTATTACAACCTCTCTGCTGCTGGCTCTAGTGAAGCAAGTTACCACGTTGGAAAGGCTGACATGGCAAGGGACTGAGGGCAACCTCTGGCCAACAGGGAATTAAGGCCCTCAATCCAATAGTCCACAAGGAACTGAATCCTGCCAACAACGTGTGAGCTTAGAAAAAGATCCTTTTGCAGTCACGTCTTCAGATGAGACCCTAGTCTGGCTGAGGCTGACACTTTGATTACAGCCTAGTGAGAGACCCTTAACAGAGGACCCTGACTTTCAGAATTTGTGAGATAATAAATGTGTGTTGCTGTAAGCCACTAAGTTTTAGTAACTTGTTATGCAGCAATAAAAAACTAATACAAATATTAAAATAAGGAATACTGTCAACAACTTTATGCCAATAAACTTGACAACTTTGATGAAGTAAACAAGTAGACAAATTTCTTAAAATACACAAACTGCAAAAGCTCATTCAAGAAGAAATAATAATCTGAATAGTCCTATAAATATTACAAAAGATCATTTATAGTTAAAAAATTTTCCCACAAGGAAAACTTTGAGTCTAGACTTCACTGGCAAATTCTCTCAAATATTTAAGGAAGAAATAGTTACAATTCTATACCAACTCCTACAGAAAATAGAAGATAATAGAATACTTCCCGACTCATTCTATGAGGCCGGCATTGCCCTGATACCAAAACCAGACAAAGATATCACAAGAAAGAAAACTAAAGACCAAGACCCTTCAAGAAATTAGACTCAAATTTCTTAAATTTTTAGTAAATTGAATCTAACAATATATAAAAGGACAATTTATCACGACTACGTGGGGGTTCATCTGAAGAATATAAAGTAGGTTTAACAAAGATCAATCACTGTAATTCACTATATTAACAAAAGAATAAAGAAAAGCCAGATAATCATCACTATAAAAACAGAGAACATACTTAACCAAATGCATCATCCATTCCTGATTAAATCTCTTTTCAAACTCATAATAGAAGGGATCTTCCTCAATCTGACAAAGGGTAACTACAAAAGACCTACAGCTAACATCACATTTACTGAAGACAGACTGAATGCTTTTCCCCTAACATCAGAAATAAGGCAAGTCTATCCACTCTTTTCTTTTCTATTCAGTATTATACTGAATAGAATAGTATTATACAGGATAGAAGAAATTCTAGCCAATGAAATAAGGAAAGGAAAAAAGGCATTCAGATTGGAAAGGGAAAAGTTAAACTCTCATTACTCATAGATGACATGTTGTCCAAATAGATAATCTTCTAGAATGTCCAAAAAAGCTACAACTTTACAGCATGGTGCTGGTAACACCAAGGTCAAGGGTTCACATCTCCATACTGGCCAACCACCAAAAACAATTTAAAAATATACAATAAGTTACAACTACTAAGTGAATTTAATAAGGTTACAGGATATGGAGTGAACATACAAGAATCAATTGTATTTTTATATATTAGGCATGAATAACTGGACATTTAAAATTTTAGAAATATTTAAAATAGCATCAAAAATATGAAATATTTAGGGGCAAATTTGATGAAAAATGTGCAAGACTTGCACATTGAAAACTACAAAAGATTACTAAGAGAAATTAAAGAAGAATTAAATAGAAAGATACTCATGGTTTAGAAGATTCAATAGTATTAAAATGTCAATTATTGAAGTGATCAATAGATTCAAAACAGTACCAACCAAAATTCCAGGAGACTTTCTAAAAAAATTGACAAGCTGACTCTAAAATTCTTAACTGACATGTAAAGAAAGAATTTAGAATAGACAAAACAATTTTGAAAAGTTATAATAATGTTAAGGATTTACACTACTTGATTTCAAGATTTATTATAAAGGTACAGTAAACAAGACAGAGTAGTATTGGCAGAAGAATAGACACATAGAACAAGAGAACAGAATAGAGGGTCCAGAATTTGACCCACAAATATAACCAACTGATTTTCGACAAAAACAACAAGGCAATTCAATAGGAGAAAGGACATTTTCAACAAATGATGCTGTCAAAATTGGATAACCTTATGCAAAAAGGAAAAGAAAAAGATAAACCCTTATTTCATGCCATAGATAAAAATAAAATCTCAATGAAGCATAGAACTAAAAGTAATGAGTTAAAATATTTCTTGAAACTGTTATGAAGCAAACTAAATTCCTAACTGATTCAGAGGAATCCCATGGTGCGAAAAAGTGTGAAGATTTATATTCCTCTCTTAAAGATTTATAACTTATGGCTGCCGCGTGACCCAGCAGGTGGCCCAGTGTGCATGGAGCAGGGAAACATCCAGCAGGGGAGGCAGAAGCTCGGCAGAGACCACACAACCTGCGGTGCCGCCATGTGACCCAGCAGCCCAGCCAAGTGCATGCTGACCAGAGAGGTGACTCCCCAGAGAGGACCAAGACCAGAGGCAACCACACACGCAAGGCACTAGTGGTCAACTGAGCAGTCACTGAGGTAGCCATACCAAATTGGCAACCCCAGCAACATCCTACCCAGACAATAGTGTCAAACCTATGGACTGTGAAACCCCCTGCCACAATGACTAAACATCAAAGGAAAGATACCAGAAATATGAAAAATCAAGAAAGTACACCACCAAAGGGTAATAACTCTCAAGCTCTAGATCCTATAGAACAAGAAGCCCTTGAAATGTCTGACAAGGAATTTTGAGTGATAATTCTAAGGAAACTGAATGAGAT